TATATTATAAATTATACTTTATATTATAAAGGCCTATATATATACATGTATATATATATATAATAACAAAAACAATAAACGTAGCATATATAGTTCATGTTAGGTTATTGAACGTACTTTACTGGAACACTAGTGTCCTCCGAAACTGTCAAAGTATAAGAGTCGCTTGTGAACTGAGGAGGGCGCTCTCCCACTTTCACTTTGACATCGGCTGAGTTGCCCATGGACATGTCAGATTTTTCATAGGCAGTTACAGTTAAAGTGTATTCCTTATTGTCTTCAAAAGAAGCCCCTGGCTGTTTGTCGATATATATATAGCCTGTTACTGGATTAACAGCAAACATCTTGCTTTCGTCTATCAAACGAAAAATAAAAGAGTAGTTTATTTATTAGTCAAAATTATTCTGTGTCGCATGTTTTCTATTTGATCTATGAACATATGTTCCCAGACCCACATAAATGAAACGATATTGAATATTATTTGCTCTGCGTTTTTATAGGATATAGCATCTGTTTTGAAACAGCAAAAAAGCATTATGTATGCAGGTTTTGGATTATTCATGTGAATTAATTTAAAGTGCTTAGTAATATTATATGCCTCCGACCTTAGGCCTCTGGGCCTATAATAGTTATTATATTATATTATATATATAGGGCCTATATAAATATATAATATATATATAGTAAGATATATATCATAGACCTATATAATTAAGGGAATTTTGCAATAAAATTTATTTTCACGATGATTTTGGTGTTTTTCTTGTAATTTTATCTAGGCCTAATTGACGTCGTTTGAATATGTATTTTTCAATATTTGCTAGTTTTATCCATTCATAATACTATGTTTTAATTGATTGTAATAAAATTGAATTTGAATTTGATATATGGTATTATAATATTAAATATCCTGTATTATGTGGGTCTACCTAAGCCACTGTATATAATAATCCTATATATAGTTATTATATGTATATTTGTGGTATCCAAGAAAGGCATGTTACAAGAGCGAGGTGCGACCTTACCAATGAAGAGCTCATACACGATCTCGGCACTTGGGTCCTCAGGATCTTGCGCCGAAAGTGTGTAAATGTTGACGCCGTTCACTACGTTCAGCTTAGTAACGGCAAGGTACGGCTCATACTCCATAGTCCACTCTGGTGGCTCATTAACGTCCAGGATTGTGATTATTATGCTGACTTCATCCGAAGTGCCTGTGAGATAAAATTTGTCAAAAATATCTTGGTTAATATTGAAGTGTTCATATTACTTTCGCACAACTTAAGCCGGGCGCTCATTGCGTCGTACGACCGTCGTCCGACGAATCCAACTCTGAACCGACGCTTTCAACTAGCGCGAATAAATAAAGTGGAAAAAAACAGGCTTGATGGAAAACTCATTGTGCGTCAATATTCTATTTTATTTTACTGTCACCAACGTAGACCAAATGCATAATTCAGCGGGTAGGCCTACTTTGCAAAATACGAGTACAGTCATAATGAGCCATCGTCCTATCATCGTTCTCAACTGGATATAATCCGTGATTACTACAAATAACGCTGACCAACTAAAGGGAAAACTAAGTCTAGACCAGGTTGAATATTTTCAGATTTTTTTTCTCAAAAATTCTTAAAATGGGCAGAATTATGCAAGCAGCAGGTTAAAGTTAAATACCAATAGTCCTCGTGGGACAAATTATTTCGTCGCGGTGGTGTTCTTGAGAACATGGAGGTATTTCATACCAATATTGAGAGTGACCTTCTGTTGCCGCCGTAATATAATTTTTTTGAAAGTTGTATACATTATGTTTGTTAGTTTAGTCATGTTGAAATATTGTGTTATTCAAATATATGCATATTTAGACCTACAAACAGGAAAACTAATGTTCAGTCCCTATAGTACTTCACAAATTGCTCACTTGTATACTTTTACACATAGTTTAATACCGTACGCTTTTAATTTTGATATTTTTATTTTTTATTTTATTTATTTTTTTTTAGATTTTGATTATTTTCTACTATAGTTTCAGTGTGTAATCGTTGTATAGCGTAGTAGTCACCGACGCATTCGGGAAAGCTTTTTTTTTTCTTTTTTTTTCTTTTTTGAACTTTCCAAAAGCTTCACTGAACTGCCGGCGATAGCATGCAGCGATTGTATAAAAACCTAGCTTAAAATAGCGCGACATTTAGTTTCTGTTCGGACTTGACACTATCAACAAAAGCTCTCTCGCCTCACAGCTAATTTCTTGAATTGTCACTATCCTCTCATACTAATAATCTGCTATATCGAAAGCATCTGCTAAATCCCGCTCAGACCTTTTTTCGTACACCCATAGACCTGTCATCGATGCCCGTATACCCATGGTATCACATCCCCTCATTAAATC